ATTACTGTGCTTGCAGAACATAAAAGATATTTTGGATAAACTTGGGGATCAAATTGCGGTCATACATGAGAAGCAGCCTGATGTTATATTAGAAGCATCTGGACCTGAGGCGATACAAATAGGAGATGCACTAACCCAGTTGAATGCGGAATGGGATAGAATTAATAGAATGTACAATGATCGTAAGTGGTAAGTCAAGGATGTTTGGCTTCTGTGATCACGTGGTAAATATTTTATGTACTTGAATATAAGCATTTTACAAATGTATCCTAATGATTGAAGATAAAGAGTTTGGGAGTAATCAGCTTTAATATGTTAGTACTACACAATAATTGCCAGAATTATTGAATGTTGAAACAGTTAACATGCAAATTGTAGTTTGAATGCTTTTATGAAGCTGATCGTTTTTACTTTATAAAATAGAATGTGTTGTTTATAAAACATAAAATTTTGGTTTTGTAAAGGTATCACAAAAGTTCTAGAATAAAAATGTTGAGTAGGACATCTTTTAATAAAGAATTCAAGGCTACTTTTGAAGGAAAGAAGGAGTTTGAAAGGATGGTGTCTTTATATATGATATTTGCCAATAATCTTTGTAAATAATTGAAGATGAGACATCATCATATTAGAAAATTTTGTGTTTGAGAGAAAAAGAATATTGACATCAATGGTTAAAAAAAAAATTGTTTCCTATTTCCTTTCCACAAAGATCAACTAGCTGTAATTTTACTTATGCCAAAAAAGAAGGGAGGGAAGTTAAACTAAGCCGTGATTTCTTTGTCCCTTAAAGAGGACGCTCTAAACTGAAAATGCCCTATCTGAAACATCTTTAAGTGTTTAAAAACAGACTCAATAACACTTAGTCAAACTTGGAAAAGTGTGTCAGGCATTTTAAGTTGGAATTGGTGAATATATGGAAGTACATGTTCAGGAAGTTATCTGAAGGTAGTATACTTCAGTAAAGTGAAGGTACTCACACTATAAACAGTGGTAGGCAATGAGATTGCTGCTCTGTGAAAAAACCTTAATGACTGAAAATGATTTCATGAAACTTAAATGTGAAGGCTCATACTGTATTTAATTTGCTTTTACAGTATTTGCTTTTTAATAGTGACATAAGGTAATGGTTAATGCAGAAGTTCTGTAGAGCATAAAGTAATGTCTAGCCATGTTCACTTGCTTTGCAGCACCAGAAATCTGATATCAAACACATTTCGTAGTGTATTTTGAAGAGGTGTTTTTAGCAAGTGTGTGTTACATAAGCCAATGTTTTCAGCTCTTTCTCAGAGCACTGGTGTATGTATAGGAATATAAGAATCAGTTGGTAGCATTGTCTAAACAGAGACTTCCAGAAATTCTGGGCCACTGGATCAGTGAAGCATCAAGATATCTAATGCCTCAGCAGGCATTGTTGTTTCACAGTTTTTTTAATTTGAAAACAAATAGCGGTGCCAGCTGGGTAGCACTTCCTATGCTCTTGCTGGCTGCCTGTGGTCACCTGCCGTATTGGGAGACAACTGCTCCAGAATGCGGTGCCCATCTGTATTTATATGCCTGCAGCTATTTTGTTGTTTTCATAGACATGACACCCACTAAGCTTTAGTTATGCCTTTAATATTATCCTTTTTTGACTATGAGTACAATTTCATTTACCACTTAAATTTAGTTTCGCTAAGTAGCCAGGGTTAACCAGAAACTTAGTTTTCCCATTGAAAAGATAAGTGTATCAGAGTAAGCTCAGTGTTTGTGATTAGCTGGTAAAATGCAACAGATGCACTCCTCAGTTGGTTCACTGAATACAAATTAATCTTGGATGTCATAAAGTTTGTAAAGCTCTGCATCTGAATGAGGATAATACTGGGCATGATTTTCATGCAAAAAGGACTATTGGACTATCAACTTAAACTAAAATGGTATGTAGCTTCCTGAATACATTAGGTACTACAATTCTAACAGAAAGATGTACTTTGATTAATGAAGACAATATCAATTTTAAAATGCTGTATTTTGGCCTTAGTATTTTTATACCCTTTCTATTACAAAGAAATTTTAATCAAGTTTATTCTTGCTTTTCCCAGTGTTGCCCTAAGTATAAGCAACAAGACTAGAAGGCTCTATCTCCTTAATCTCTGACTTTCTTCTTTTTCAGAAGTGGGTGGACATTTTGACAGAATTAGTAGAAATAGCATCTGAAGTCTGTGGCAAAAGATTGATTTAGTTTTCAGAGATAGTAATGATTTTGTGATTGAGTGCCAGCTAAGTAGTTAAACCTTAGATAAAAGCTCTGATGTAGCCAAGCACAAGATGAATTAAACTGTACTTAGCAAAACTTTTAAGTGGTCGACTAAATGCAGTTGGCTTCAGTTTAATTCTAACATATGTGTAAAGTAAAACGTGTGTGTTTTTTGCCTGCATATATGGACTTAAAACTTTGTTGAGCCATTTGTAACAATGCTGGTTTGCTAGTTTTGCTCCTTCTGCCATGGGCTTTCCACCAGTGCTAAAAGTGTTAGTGACTTGGGAATGAGCTGTGGTTTGGAAGCAAGCGGATTCTTGCAGAAGAATTGAGGAGTGGCCAAGTCTTGGTGATGTGGTGACAGGACTTCGGTACTTTTATCTTTCAGCTGAGGCAGTCTGTAGTGAAACGGCAGCATGGGCATCTGGCTCAACTCAGAATGAAACTTCAACTCATTGCTCAAAATATTGATGAAGCTGTAGGCTCACAACAGGAGCAGCAGAAGTTAAAGCTTTGTATCTCAAAGCATTCTCTAAAGTGCCGAAATTCTGGATTCTGAAAAAGTCACGTGTTCAAAACTCCCCCCGAAACTTTCATGTTGAAGGAAGCAAATAAAGTAGTCTTTTAAAATATTTAAAGTGCTTAGAATATCTCTTCTCATGAAATGTGGAAGGAGATACTATTGTGAGACGATCAGTTCAGTTCACTAAATGTATCTGAGAAATAAAAGGAGAATGAGATTTGGGATCACTCTACAGGTTGGTCTAGCGTATTGAATTGAGATGTCTGCAGGAAACAAATGGTAGAATTAGGAAGTAAAGTCAAAGAAAAAATTAAGTAGAGATTTTTAAGTCTTTCTTCTTTATTAGAGTTGGACCACATGAATAATAATAATAACAACAAAAAAGCTCTCTATGTACCAAAGAATATGAATGTCTTGATAAAAATGAAATGTAATTTTGATGAAAATAATCTCACTAGGAACTCTGGGATTGTTGAATTTAATTAGTGAATAAAATAGATGCAATGGTAGCTCTTTAAAGTTTGATTTCGGATATCTTCGATGTTATGCTGCTAATTTCAGATTGCATCTGTATATAAGCAGTTACTCTGGAGTCTTTGCTGTTGGAATTGTTTAAGACAAAAATAATGGGCTACAGATGAGATCTTTCCTCTGTCACATTAGAGGGTCCTCTGATGAGAAGGAGACCTGGCCTTCTGTGTCTTTAAAGACAAGTATTTTTATTAATTTGGAACAGGATACTATCCAGCCTGTTGGCATTGATGTAGATTTCGTGTTGTTTATCTCAGTTCCTGTGTCCTTAGAGACATCTGTCCTATTTGCTTGATAGTGCTACGATAGAGTTAGGAATCCACAAATAGAAAGCAAGCCACTCTCTCTATGCCTTTATGACATGGGTTTCTCATTTAACATTCATGGGCGGTTTTTGTTAGCTTGTTAACATAGTAGAACTCTCATTTTATTTAAAAAACAACCTTCTGACTGTGATAATTCAGCCTGTTCCATGCTGGAAAATGTTACCCTTCAAGTTAAGCTGCACATTAATTTGAGGCTGCAAAGATGGTAATAACAGTGAAATGCCTGGTAAAGTATTGTGTGATTAAATTGCATAAGGCCTACTTATGCGGGCCCGCTGGTACTACAGTCAGTTCTATATAATCAAAATCACCTTAACTTATTGAATTCCAGGCACCAGCAACCCATGGTTTATGAATAAAAAAATATACCTGAGCAATTAATCCTATTTCATGTTCCACACTGTCTGATATCTGAACCATTTTATAATAAAGAATAAGAGGGTTTTGCAGACCACTTTGATGCAGCTAATCAAGCTCTATTTTTTAAGGGATAGAAGCAAAAGTTTGCTTAGGACTGCCCTTTTTTCCTTCAGCTGGAAGTTAATGACAGTCTGTGCTGTTGGCTTTTCCCAGCTGCTACTATATCAGGAAGCCTTCAGTGCTGGGGCTTTGTTAACCAGGATACATGCTAGCCTTTCTGTTCTGCAAGGAAAGTTTCTACTCGCTGGAGTAGGAATTGTAGCCTTTTCACCAAAACAGTTTGGATAATTTTTCAATGCTTTGTTTTCAAACAGTTGCTTTGATAGAGCGATTGAGGTGTGGAGTCAGTTCCACTGTGATCTCAATGACCTCTCCCACTGGATAACGGAAGCTGAAGTGTTATTAGCCGATGCCCGTGGTCCAGATGGCAGCCTGGAGCTGCAGACAGCTGGACTGCACCAGCAGGTATGTACGATCTGTGCAGAAAACAAGGAAGCTGGAAAAAGTCTAGATTTTTATCTAAAATTCTCATTTTCTATATAGACATAGTATAGACATATTCATATAGATTTGAAATGAAGCTGGGCAATTACACTTTAAAAAGTGGTAACTCTTAAAATTTCTTTTTTAATTGCAGTTTAAAATTATTCTTGGGGAAGATCTGAACCGCTGCATATATTATGGGGTGGAGATGACTCTTAATGTGGATGGGTTTGAGAGAATTTGATAATTCAGATGTTTGTATAATCTTCGTTGTTTTGTTACAGCTTTTAAAATATGTTAATCAGTTAAGAAATCAATATATTATTTCACTTACTTTCTACTCATAATTAAAAAAGTTGACCCCAACAACGGTGAATTATAACTTAGCAAATTACTGTTTTAAACTAATGAATTTGCAACATATCATGCCGTGTATAAGCAATCTAGAAAAAGAGAAGACTCCAGTTACAGTTGTCTTAGGTTTGATTGTTTCAGACTTCCGTTCTGGAATGTAATTCCCTGATGTCTTTCCATCTCATCATTATGGAAGAGCAGACTTTTCTGTTAAGCTAAACTACTTTACTTTGTTTTAAATAAGGAGAGGAAAACATAACTTTAAGGATCAGATTTTATTGTTTATTTTGGGGAATAGTGGTTATCCAAGAGTTAGGTATGTGTTGCTAAATAAACATATGTTCTTCCTAACACACAGTTTGTGTTCCAATCTTGTTGCTGTTTGGAGTTTTCTTCTAGAGCATTTCCCTTCTCTTTCTTGAATTGTCTTATTCCTTATCTAGTTGCAAAGAAATTTTTTGCCAACAATGTAAGGTTTTTATGGTGGTTAGGGTTATATGAAGGATTTAATCCTGATGTCTTCTGACTTCCTTTTGTTTCATGGATTTTCTGTGATGTTTGGGGACCGTGGCAGCACAGTCATAATTATCCTAGCTAAAATACTGTTAAGCTACAGAAATAGTGAGGGGCATAGGTTATGAAAAGAACTGGTTAAAAAAAAAAAGCTGTGACATCTGTTAGCTTTACTAGAAAGTGCTGTATGTTAAGAGGAAAGGAATAAAGCGTGAGTGTGGATTCCAGCACTGATGGTTTAAATGAATTCTTGTGATCCTAAGTAGTATTCAGCAGTCTATTCTGTGTCACTATCTTTTTTTTATGACACTCATTAGAGAATTGAACTAGATTTAACAACAGACTCTTAATAATTTAAATCAACATAATCGAATTTTAAGATAGTAAGATAATACGCACCCGGGATTCATCTTGCATCTTATGAGCCACAGATCAAAGTCACTTTAGGTCAGTGATAAAATTCTGTGTGGCTTTTATGTTTCTGACAGGAACTTGAAGAGGGAGTCAGCAGCCATCAGACCAGTGTTTCAGCATTGAACAGAACTGGCGAAGGGATCATACAGAAACTGTCTGCTACAGACGGGAGCTTCCTGCAGGAGAAGCTGGCGGGATTGAATAGGCGTTGGAAAGCAATCGCCGCGGAGGTCATGGATAGACAACTGAGGTAATAAGTTAATCAGAAATTTGAATGTCTGACCAGATGTGATGAGGAGAATCTCATTTAGAAGACTCTGGGAGAGATAGTGCATTCTATTGCACTCTGTCATTAATCTGAATTTTCCTGACGTTCAGACCTCTTGCCTTTTGAACTGTTTTCTAGAACCAGTTTCTCATAAATGCACCTGCAATTGACTGCTTAGTGAGTCTGTTTAACACAACCCACCAAATGACAACCACAAAACTTATTTTCATAAAATTTTCCTTTGTTTTTAAAATAATTTCATTGCTAAGCCAGACCTTTTTAGAAATGAAGCTGCTTTCTCTAGCTGAAGCTGAACTTTAAGTACATTACCTTGATTTCTGTTTTTGCATTGTCAAAGATACAGTAACTGAAACATTTGTATCGTTCTTGAATTTCTACAATACTATAAAATGAGATCTTTAGGTCTGTGATTGCAATATTTAATCCATCTGACTAGATATTTTCTGAAAAATATGAAAATCTATTTTGAAGTAGCCTTAAATTTACTTCAAAAGATCAAAGAACAAGATTATCTGAGATAAATATACAAATCTGAGAACAGAAGATCTATCCCTGCTCTGTTCTTACTGCTAAAAGTATGTAAGGATAAATCCCTGAAATGAATAGTTATTTTTTGAAGGCTATTTATTTAATTATATGTTTTTTAACGTCTCCTGATACATTTAGAAATATAACAAGATTTTTCTTAATTATTTAGTTTGAGAAGTTCCATTAAAGCTTTGTGTGATTTGGGGAATTTTTTCCTTGGAGGGTTTGGAGACATTTCTAATACTTTCGCTAACAGTGGCCCTGTAGTGGCTTACAATGATTAGGCCTGAAGGTGTTCTCATACTGTCCCTTATGCTTAATGTTTTCTGAAGACTTTTAAAAGTCTGTTTTGTGACTTTGGAACTGAAATTTATCTAGTTTTAAGGTGGCAGTATTAATTTCAAGTATCTTGCATTTTAATGATGAGGATAGAATCCTCTGAATACCAAAATGAATCCTTTAAAATGCTCCAACCACTGAAAAACACGTGACTACGTTGCATCAGAAGTAATGTAAGACTGACATGCTGCGTTCACATTTTTTGTTTTCCTTTTAAGGCTAAAAGGAGAGAATCAGCAGCTGATAGAGTACAGAAAGAAGCTTGATGAGCTGCGTTGCTGGTTGGAAAACGTAGAAAATGCTCTGGACACAAGATTTACATTCAACCATGAAGAAAACTTGCGAGAATTACAGGCAAGATCAATTAATGCATATATGTGTATGCACGTGTATGTCTTGTGCGAAGTATTGGGACATGGCTTTTGAGGAGGGCAATTTTCACGTTGTAAATGGCCAGAGAAATACTATGGTTGTGTGAGACAGTTTTGTGAGATTACTCACACAGGCAAGATGCATCTCATAATGAAGTTGAGTTGAGCGGATAACTATGTTATCTAGCTGGAAGATTACGGCTATGTATCAGAAAGTGAGAAATATATGTACAACTGATAAAATTTAGTAAGTGGAATTTCACTGAAAGTTATGTCCCCAAGTCAACTTTGTAGTTGTCTAAACTTTAGCAGAAAGCCCATAAGCTTGAAACGGTAAGTAAGCATCATTGTCCTGTTCGATGGGCAGCTTTAGCAGTTTGTAACGTGTGTAAGATTTTTGTTTAACCTGCTTTTTAAACTATAAGGGTTTTGGTTCTTTCAAGTGACTTGGCTGCATATGTATGCATGTATTTTTCCTGTTTATTTTGTGCCTGGCTTTGACAACAGAATAGCTTTGGTTTGTAAGATGTGTGAAGGAGAATGTTTCTGGAATCCTAAAAGAATGGAAGGAATAGTCCATCCAACAAATCTGCTTGCTCATGTTTTTGTAAATGAGTAATAAAAAACCCCAACCCAACCTTTATTAGGCCAAATCAAGTGGAAAGGCTTCAACTTCCTACAAATGTGTATAAAAGATGTGAAGTAGTTGCAGTTGTGTTTGCCTAAACAAATTATCATGTCAATTGAGTATTGACTGTCTGACTATCATGAAAGTTTAATTTTTCTTGTCATCTACCTTAATATAGATGCCTGAAATGAAAGGTAGAGCTGGAAAAAGGAGGG